ATATGAGTATACTTCATTATAAGGAATAAAGGAGCTTTTTTAAGTTTCTGTTAGCCTGTTTTTATAAATTATCTTATTAAAATTCATATGTAATTAATATTTACTGGTGCAGCCTTTATTTTTTAAAACTGCAGATTGACACTAGTTGAGGGATCAATGACATAACACTCGCATTTTACCTTTTCCAAAGTTCTTCCTTATTTTTCGGTTTAAAGCCTCCGATTCTTTTTTAATATCTTTCACAAGTGTTCTATCGGATTTAGGTCAAGGGATTGGGTGGGCCACTCCATTACATTAATTTTTTGGCCCTGGAACCATTTCTTAATAAGTTTTGAAGAATGTATGGGGTCATTAGCCTGCATTAACTCCCATTCCAAGGCCATTTTTTCCTCAGCATATGGTAGCAGCACCTTCTCTAGTATATTAACGTAGTCTATAGAGCACTCATTTTTTCTTTTATCCAGAATATTGGACCAACTCCTGAGGCATAAAAGCATCCACATGTCATGATATTAACTCCTCCATGTTTGACAGTTTTTATGGTGTGTTTAGGATCGAATTGAGTATGAATTACTATTTTTTTGTCGTCTTACATATATTTTTCCATCATATCCGAACTAATTTATTATAGTTTCAGTTTCAGCACGTCATTCCAATTTGACGTATTATGTGTGTCCAAAGACAATCTTTATACGATATTTTTGTTGCTTAGCAATGGAACTTTTCTAGCTGAACGTGCCTTCACATACTTTTAAATTAGTCTTTTCCGTATAGTCAGACTGGACACTGATCCCTGCAAGGTATTCTTGAAGTCCTTTGATAAAAAAAACAACTATGTTTTTTGTACGATTCAAAAGGTCATCAAACTTTTGGGATGTGACTCGCTTCCTGTTCCGTTTCTCCGGTGTGTCTTTAAAGTGAACTGCAGAAAACACTTTTTAACAGAGCAGTGCATTAATTCAGCAATTTCCCTAATTTTTTTTCGTTTTTAAGTTTTTTTTTATAAACTCCGTACTACAACAATATGGTTTTAAGCACAGGTGTGGATGCTTCTGTTATTTTTTCCAACAGGGTATGTATTTATGTACCCAAAAAAATTGTTTTTAAAAATCAAATTAAAAAAAAAGAAACATCAAAAGTAAATCCTATATATTTGAGCATATCTACTAGGCATGTGTACCTACATACATACCATATAGACATGTTTAGTGGTTTAGCTCGTGGCACAGTAAATACATACATACATGAGTCTTGTTTTATTTTTAAAAATATATCAGACTATACTTATAAATATACATAAACATGTGTGTGCAAATTTTTCTTTCCGCTTCGTTCATGTCATGGTGGCATCGCAAAACCAGCCGGCATACACACGCGTAGATATGTATGTACGAGTATTTGCACATTTGCACAATCAATGTCGACATTGAAAACAACAGTGAAAGACAAAAAGCAGAGACAAATTAAAAAATAAAAATAAATAAAACAAACTTTGAACTCAACGGAAAAGCCCAAGTTTAATACAGAATACCGCCTAAAGGTATGGTATTCGGTGAGTCCTCGAAGGGCTGCTATGTAACGTAATCGGACTTCAACATTACAACAGCACTAGCTGAGGCGCTGAATGCAGACAAGTGCATTTGTCGTAAGCAAAGAAACTGGTGGATATTTGCATGCTTAATGCAAGAAATGTGGGTCAAATAAGTAAAAGCTATTTGTTTTTTTTTTTTCATTGCATTGACCGACATTTTTTATTGCAAACTTGGACTTGGATGCCTGAAGAGATCAAGTGGTTTGGTATTTTCGGGCACTACGAGGTCAAGATATAGAAATATAAACTCGAGGTGGGTATTAAAATAGAGCAACAGATTTAATATACCATATATATATAAACTAGTCGCTCGAAGCAATAAAATTTTTTTCTATTTTATATTCGTGTGAAGTTTGATCTCCATATATCAATTAGAGTAAAAAGAGAGCTAACATCAAAAATACAGAATTGTTGAAAATGTCGCAGACGTGTTTTGGCGAGTTTACTTTACCATGAAAACAAGTATTTTATTTGAGTGGTAGAAAGCACTCAGTAAGGTCGTGAAGTCGAAAAGTTTAAAGAAACAGTCCAAAATTGAGCCTAAATAAATCGAAAAAAACAAAATTCATGCAGCCGAGGTTTATAACAAGTGTATGGAAAATTGGATTAATTGCTATATACTATCTGCGAAAGCTCTTTGCAAAGTGGGCAAGCTTCCAATCAACCAAAAATAGCAACGAATTTTTGACCTGGCTTCCAGCGACTACTTTCGCTCCTTATGTCTCAAAGGAAAAATAATAGGCAATCGTAGAGTAAGAGAGCTAATACAGTGTATCGCCCTCGATTTCGACTATAATGAATAATATAATCGAACTTTAATAAACACAAGAAAAAAACATTTACTTCGGTTGTACCGAAGCTATAAAACACTTCAGAAATACAAGTACAAAAGTTTCCTTACAAGAACTTGATTCCGATCATTCAGATTGTATGGCAGCTAAATGCTATAGTGGTTCGATATCGGCACTCCGACGAATGTGCAGCTTCTTGGCAAAAGTTCAGATCGATATCTTAAAAACTCAGCTCATCACGCTGATCATTTATGTATATATTTTATATGGTCTCCGACGTTTGCTTCTGGGTGTTACAAACTTCGTGGCAAACTTAATATACCCTGTTCAGGGTATAAAAAAACTGGGACCCCGACATGATGTTAAGTCTGCCCAGTCAGAACGGATTTTTATCCGGCCAAACACTGTCAACACTGGATTAGATTATCAACATATCTTCTGCCAAATACTAAGCAGTATGTAACAAGTTATTAAATAAAGTATATATTTTTTTTTTATCGAGTATTTGACCATATTCTTCCAACTGTTAACACTAGTAACTACTGATACTATCATTTTTGTGAACTAAGCGAAACAGCACCAGAATATATTATTAGCATTTTTATCGTAGACAACAGACTCACCAAGTGGTCTCACACTAGGTGGTCGAACAGTTAGTTCGTTTGTTTTGCTAAATTGCCCTGTTTAGCTATCAATCGGAATTTAGGTGCTTTAGTGATCTTACCAGATGTTACTAGTTTTGCTCTAAAAAACATAAATAAGCAATAACAAAAAACGAAAGTGAAAACAACATGCAACAGAAAACAAATCGTATGATCTGATGATGCTAAATCTAATTTAAACACATTAGTGTTAAGCACTCACTTATTAGTAGTCAACGAGGGGTGGCACTTTTGTGTAAGCATGACGAAGTTGCTATATAAATTAACGCTCGCATTGAAGTCCGAGTGCGAGTTTATGATGTCAATGATAATGCAACTGGTGCACTTTTGTATTCCTAGTATGAATTTGTCTAATAAATTTAATTGTACCAGCCATTGAGGAAAATATGAAAGTTTTCCTCATTAATTTCGAAATACTAAGATAAGATCGGAAGTGTTTCTGCAGGAATCTCTGGATTTACAACAAATAATCAGATAAAGAAATAAAGACGATATGCAATAATTTCTTTCGAACAAGAGTTGAATAGAATACAAGCAATAATGGGTACTATAAATCTCAAAGTATAAAACCGGATTTTTGAGAAATTAAGTCTCTCTGAGACTCTTTGGATACAAGGTGCGTCCTAAAAATAGCCGCAGTTTTTGGCTATAGAATAAAATGAGCATTGTACTACCTTTGAGAGTAATTATTGATTAAAAATGGGATCCACAAGACTCAATACAACGTTTGGCACGATCAATAAGAGCATGTATAGATTTGCTTATTTCATTTATAGGAATGCTCTTCAGAACCTCGGTTACGGCAAGTTAATTTTCAGTTTTGGAAGAAAAAATTGCCACATTGTGATAGATCAGGCGAAATGGTTGATGATAGAAATCCGATCTATCATCAAAAACTCCTTCACTTTTTTGGTCTTCATTTAATTCTTGTGGAACAAAATAGAACAGCGCAACGCGCACTTTTAGCCAAATCTTCAGTTTAAATTCGCCAAATAGCGTTTTTACTTGTATTTAATCCCTCAGCCACCATTCTGAAATTCTGGTAGTAAAATTTGCAGCGATACCAATAATTTCACGGACTTTTTACACCAATTCAGCACGATTAACAGCTGTCATTTAAATCCTCACGACCATTTTTAAATCGTGCAAACCACGTATAAACTTGAGTACGACTCATACACAACATAAACTTTTTTTTATCAATTCATATGTTTCAGCGAATTTTTATTTATTTATTTTTTTTTACCTTAAAAAACATTTTATATTTGTTTTAGGTAAAAATGGAGTTGCGGTGCCAACCTCATACTATTCTAGTAAAAATGGAACAATTGCACACCATTTCTTTAATTGAAATGGTTATAACTTTAACATTTGTCCAATTTAAATGACGTTAGGTGCGTTTGAAAGAAGATGAATGTATCTTTTCATCTCAATTTATATGCGGTATGTTGTATGATTTAAATATAAAGTGCGATTATTTTTTGGACACACCTTGTAGTGGGAAGTTTTTTCCCACACTTTGAAAATAACTACATATATATGTTATCATTACTTAATTATACGTTTTGAATCAACTTTAATGTTATAATGTATATTTTTATATAAAATTCTTTACAAATTACAGAATATTTCTAAAAAAAAATGCTGCGGAATCAATTAACCGATGAGACGGGTTTCTTTCATATTTTAACATAAATTCCTTTCTAATAAAGTACAGCGAGTGGACTTTAATGTTTCACTTTCGTTTACAACTAAAAATAAACGTTAATTTCGCTGAATTTGACACTAAATTACATACAAATAGCTCTATTGAATATAAACAAATAAGAGGCGATGACTCAAATATTTTTTTAACACGCCACTTATGCATAGCATCAACCTATTATTTACTAAAATCTAATTAAATTATCCGAATATATCTACAAATTATGATTAACATTATTAAAACGTACTCACCTTTGCTAAATCGATGTTATTCTCGATTTGCAAACGATGAACAAATGGATTTATGTAGTTGTATCCGGTTGATGACCAAGCATCTTCCTCAGAGTCTGTTTTTTCCATAGTGTGATTTAAGTCTACGTTATTCGCATCATTGGAAATGTGACCGTCGGCTTCGGCATCGTTGGATGCCGCGTTGTTACGCTTATTTTTAAATGCTGATGTTGTCATACTTTTGTGGTGGGGTCAGTGATGGTGGGATATTATTTTACTTTACTTTATTCTTCTTTTTTACCGGAACAATGTTTCCTGTCACTTAATTAGTATATATTAGTAGAGCATAAACACACTGACTAGACCGATAGTAACCGAATAAATACAAGTTTGCAGAAGAATTAAATACTTTAATTTGAATTAAAATTTTTTTTTTGTTTTTCTCAATTTCTTTGTTATCAGTTTTCTGTTAGTTTTTTTGCGACGCGTCAGCACATTTCACTTTACAGCATTCACTTCCACGCTAATGTTAATTACTTTCTCATATTTATTAGGCAAAGCTGGCGAATAGTGATTCAACGGCGTCGACACGCCGACCGACTCTTGGATACTGATAACTTTGAATTGCGTTGGCGTCAACTCTTGCCAGCAATGTTATACTTGGTGAGCGACGCTTTGAGTATGTTGACTTCTGGATGGCGCTTGCGCGCTCAGCTATTGAGCGAGAAACACTGGATCTGACTATGATTGCTCACAAGTTTCGCACTAACTGAATGCTCCTCAGCTGTTCTACTATATCAGACCGTTAAGCCCTCAGTTGATACAAACATTTACTCTTGCATTGATTCGTTCCGTTTTTAATTTGTTTTTCTTGGTCCCTGCGCGATTATTTATTCATATAAGTAAGTAGTAACGATTTCAAGAAAACAGCGTCTGAAATACAAAGAGGAATTATCATTGAGTTGAAATTATAAATAAATACAAACAATTCAAAACTAGATTTTTGATAGATATTTTGTTTAAGCTTTTCGAATCCTAAGACAAACCATTATATTCAGAAGGGGCCATTTCAAATTTTACTATGGCTGATATAAAATTTAGTTTTTCGGTTTAATTTCATAGTTATAAACAATTTGGAAAAATATTTTCATATACAAAAACATGCCACTTTCATAGAAATTTTCTCCATGACGTTTAAATTTTCTCCACGACAATTAAAATCAAGAAAAAATGTTAACTTCGGCTGCACCGATGCTATGATACCATACCCTTCGCAGGTACATTTCTTATAGAATAAAAGGGTATACAAAGATATTTTATTGTTGGCAAACAAAACGCCAAAATTACGCCACTGGTGTTCGAACTAGAAATGAACCTCGAACATTGTTATTAACATCCGATTTGATGAAATGAATTATGCACCCTTAAACAACAATATGTCTGTCAAAAGTCACAAAAGAGTTGATAAGAATTTCAAATAGCGCGATTACCTAGACCTAAGTACGCACGTACTAAAATAAAAAATTATAATATATTTTCAAAATCTAGACAAATTCAGTAATTTTATGCTCTCAAAGAATGACGACAGAGAATAAATGAAAAAAATTATGTTTTTATACATTTATTACGTGCAAATAACCCACGTTGTGCTACAAAAGCAGATTGTACTGTCAACAAAATATTTACAGCCACAAAATAAACTTTGCTAATTGCTATCTAAACTCACAGGTTGGATAAGCAAGCGCACATGTTTGTACAATTGTCGCTATAAGCTTTTCGTGCCTCATAGCATCGATTATTTGCAAATAAAATGTATGACTTAAAAATTAGCCGACAGGTGCTATTCAGTCACCTCAGTGCTGGAATGAATTATGACGTCTTATTGGGAAATATATACTGATTATTGAATATATACTGATCAATTATACAATAATGCTGACAATTAGGTGACAAGAAAATTCCTTGGTAAACATATAAAAATCCAATGTTTACATTCACATGCATATTAAATTTTCTAAATTCAAAGCACATGTGGATAAGAAAATTACAAAGAAGCACGATATGCACTAATAAACACAAGACCATTTATTTGAATATTTACGATATGTGAATAACAAAACCGCAATCAAATTACTTGTATATGAATCATTTCTTTCATACACCTTAAATTCAATTTTCGCAAATTAAGAAAAAAGAATCCAACTCGCTAACGCCATTGTAGCCACAGCGTCGCCAAAATATTTCAACTTTATTCCAGAAAAACAACGATACTTAATTGTTATTTTTTTAAGGCTAGTGAAGTTTTTGGAACAGTCTAAATTAAACTAGTAATATCCACTGAACTCACCAAATTGTTTAATCTCTTCAATATGATTAAATTATGCTTTCACAATTTCTTCGCATTCTTTAAAAATCAAACACAATTTGCGACATTCCACAATTGTGCCAATCTTTTTCTTGCTCTTGTTCTACTTCTCGCGCTTCTTCCTTCTCAAATATTTGGTAATTGGTAATTTATGCGTTGCCACAGTATATAAGTGGTTAAAAAAACTCAAGTTAAGAATGAGTAATTATTATTTGCAAACTATGTAATATTTAGTATTATATAATGTATTATATATATAATATAGTATTATATAATTTATTATATATTATATATATAAACGATGGCCTCGTCAAATATTCTTATATCGAATATATTTTAGTTCATGAGTTTGTAATACGACAACATACAACACTGCGTAGACAAAACGGCTGTGCAAAAAGAAGAGGAAAAAATCAGTATTGGCAGAATTGTCAGCTGGTGGTGTATAGAAATAGTTGGATGAGCAAGTGGATTTGGGATTGTGTGAAATTAAGTAATTTATGAAAAATTTATTAACTGAGAATAAAACTTTGTAAAAGCGAAAAAATTTGAGAAAGAATAAATCGCGAGCATTTGGACATTACAAAACAAATGTATAAAATAGTGGTATTATAATTTATCAAAATTAGACCCTTAAAAACGAATGATAGGAACTGAGGTGAATGTGTAAATCAGTGCTTCTGGTGCTAATTCCCTGTGTGATTTCACAAGAAAAAATTTGTGCATAGAACAACGCTATTAATTAGCTATTCAGCAAAAATTATCAATTGTGCAAGTGAGTATTACAAAAGAGCAACCAACGTTTTTAACCTCCTTCCACTTTATGTATCCGATGAGTGCACTCGACGAATATGCCCATCAATGCTACGTCATAGCTGAAGGTGGGCAACACAGAAACAAGGAAGGTTGTAGCTTATCCCCGTATCGATTGAATTTGTAGTCATTCGTGTTGCATTCTTGTTAAAATTTGCTGCTAATACTAAGGGAATGGTTTTTAAAAAACAGTTTTTACTTTTTGCTAACCTCAAAATAGCTGTGACTTTGTGTTATGGGAAATATAATTGCATTTGCGCTTTACTTGTGGTGTATGGCTTATTAACTATGCCATGCAATGCTTCAACAATTTTACTACGCATATTTATGTTAGTAAAGTCGTAATTTGTTTTCGCTTTGCCCTTAATAAATACCGTGATGAGACAATATGGTCCAATGTCTCAATAACCTACTACGCAGTTGGTTTGATAAATGCGTATAATTCAAAAACAGCAAACCAATAAATAAGAAATTGAAATTATGAAACATATTTAATGAAATTGCTCTTTTAAAAAGCAATACATTTTTTTTAATTTTCTCTTCTCGTTTTCGTTACATTGGTAATTCCCATGATTTATTCTGATCGCTTTTATATTTCCTTAGATTGAGTTTTTATCATCTGCTTTCAATTTCATTATCACACGATTCGATTATTTCGCAGTGTAATCAGTTCGTTTCCTTTTGTGTTGTTTTGCTGGTTCTATGTTTTTACCATCTCTTCTTTATGCTATATGTATGTATATTCGAATAAAATACATAGCTCTGTTAAGCATATGATGAACTATGTAAAAACTATAGTATTGGCTTTATATATTGATTTTGCTTATTTTTAACTTATTTTCATTTATGCTAGATTTTGCGATTAATAATTACATACATAAATATGTACTATTTCATAAAAATTATATGTAAATATTTCCCTTGTAATCTGATGTTTGGCAACCCTGACAAAACAGCTGCTCAAATGTTTATCTCCTGCAGTTCTACGCTTAGGCGCATTTCTGTTGTAACATTTCTGTTTACATCTGTTCAGATACATGCATACACCTATACACACTTGCATTTTTTCCAATTCCACCTCCAGCTGTTCTTTGGGTGCTATGTTGGGAAATTTGAAGCCCTTTTACTATATAGGTAGACGCATATGTAGATATGTACATATCTATTTACAAATATATGACTGTACGCTGTTGTTGTGCTCATTTTGAGCTGTTCCATGACTTTTGTTTTTGTTTATTTTTTTCTCTTTACTTCCACCTTACAAGTTTGTCCTTGGTTATTTGCTTTTCCGTCATTTCCCCAGTTTCCAGTATAGAATTGTTTTTATTTCTATTTTGTTTGCCTTTGATATATGTATGTACATATTTATGTATATACATAAGTAAGAAAGGTATCATATGTATGTATATAAAATATGTTTAATGCCATGTAGGGAACTGTATAGTCTCTCAAGTTGTACTTTCGATCCATTTTGGAATAAGTTCTCCAACTTTTGCTCGTTTATATAAAAGAAAAGTAAACGCTATATTACAGGGGATAAAAAAAATTATCAAGCAAAGCTCTTTATGAGGAGTAATTCTTCAAGCACCATTATTTATGAACCGAAAACTATCAACTAGATAATATGAGGGCTCTTTAGTGAATCAAGGGGTTATATCCACTTGCAAGTCTGAAAATATGAGTTTTTTTAAATTTTTTTTTTGTTTATTGCATTTTATTTAATAAATAAAATAAAATACTAACAATGACTTACAGAATTAATTGTACTTAAATAATCGGCGATTTATTTTGAAAAGTTTTGAAATTTTCATTGATACCGTAGCTGATCTACAGCAAGACCTCATAAAAAAGATGTCTGGCGGTGATCAAAATTTGTTTGCTTAAAATTACTATAGATAAATATATATATATATATAAATATATAATGTTTGACAAAATTGCGGCTTCTTCAAAAAAGTCGTTTTATATAAAAAAAATTTACACTTCAGAGTGGCTTAAAAAATCGCAATCATTATTAGCAATCTTACTCCTTCTATTAATTACACGACAAATATGTATATCTAAGAAGTAGGTGTGAAAATTTTAAGATTAATTCGCCGATTCGGAGCTATTTTCCTCACCGACTATGAAAAAAAAATAAAAATAAACTTTTTGAAATTCACAAGTGGTACACCTTAAGTGTCACTGAAAATACGTACATATATGCATAAATTTGTTTTTCTCATGTTTGCCTTTAGTTTTCCCTACAGGGTATTTGCTGACATCCAAATTGTCAAACATATCTATATAAAAACATCTGTAGGTACAAATGCATGTACATATATGAGTGTGTGTGTTTGTATATGCATTCATATACACAAAATTACAGAAATATGGAGGTTTGGGCATACACAAAACGTTCAGTTGCTCAGCGCTGCATAGCAAAGTTCAGTTCAGTGTTTGCTGTGCATCGCAACCGAGTCGAGGTGAGTGCGATTCCGAGTCAGTGGATCCAGTCTAGTTTGTGCGCTCGCATTTTAAGTACCCACAGAAATAAATAAATAAGTTGTTTTGCTCTCTGCTCGGTAGCAAAAGAAGTGTATGCTATACAAAAAAGTAAAACAAAGAACTAAGGCTAGAAAATAAAAGCAAAAGCAAAAAGGTAAAAAAACATAAATTAAAATAAAATATATAAAAAAATAGTATTGTACGACTAATATTATCGAAATCTCTGCTGAAATTGCAATTTTAATTCTTGAAAATTAGATTTTAAGAAAATCTAAAATTTGTGTGTTTTGCTGACGTTTGCTTTGTTGCTGTTGTTTTGTATTTCATAAGTGCGAGTATGCAATCGAGTGATCCAAATTGTGTGATTGAGCGAACTGTCTCATATCTTGTTTGTGCGTTTGCACGTACGGACACACATACTTGTGTACATATGTATGTAGGTAAATTTGATAATAAATCCACTTACCTCACACGCATACAAACAGATACGAGTAAACGTATGTACATATGTACCTAACATACTTAGCTTTTCATATTGATACATGCGATTGTTGTTTTTATTTGTTTACGAATTTAAATCTTTGCAATTGTTGCTTTCAAATGCATATTTTACACATAGGCAAACATACATACATTTATTTTTAATTTTGTTGTATACTCAATAAGTAGCGTCTAATCTCGCTTATGTATACGTATACATGTACATTTGTCTATTTATTGACATTTTATTTGTTGCTCCCTTTTAAGGCAACGTTTATGATTATAAATGTATTTATTTTAGGCCAGTGTCATCGTTATATTTGTAAGAATTGTTTAATTGCTTTGTCATAAGCAGCTGCATTGAAAACAATAAAATACAATTAGAACTACAATGGTGAAAACAAAAACACAAAGTCATCAACACAAGTGCAAAGCCAATAAAAAAAAAAACAAGAAACAACAACAAAATCACACAAGTAGGGAAAATACACGAGTTGACCAACCCAACGATTAAATAAAGTACAGGGTTGCCAATAATTGAAAATATTGTATATTCTGTGTCGACCATTCTGCTGCTTTGCAATGTTTTGTCAGAGTCAACAAGACTCACATAAATATTTTTTGTTTCCAAAAATAAACGTACTTTGTACTTTAAATAAATAATGTTTTTTTAAAAAAGTTTTTACGGAAGTACAGAACTTTTAGGTCTAGAGAGTTATATATTACAACACTAATAATAGGTATTATATCACAAATATTTGAATTATACCATCCGATCAAATTTGATCCCGACTTACAAAAAAACATTTTAATGTTTTTTAATACAGATGTTGTTGTTGTTGTAGCGGCAGAATTTTGTCGAGTTGACAGTCCTTGGCCGGAAAAAATCCGGGTCCGTTCCGATTACGTAGACCCGACTGTTATGGAAACGGTTTTAATACAGATCTTTATTTTCGCCTTCAAAATGGGCTCCTTTTGAGCCAATACAAGCATTCCAACGCTAATTATTGGAGCGCTAGTCGCTAGATTGTTGCACAGCTCCGACGTCATTATTATAAATCTACGACTCGTCACTATTAATGATGCGTTTGATGAATTTACGGTCCTCAGCTACGTTGTCACGCATCTCTTTTGCGAATCAATTCGGTTTTCGCGCGCTGCTACAAAGAGAGTAGTCCGAGTCAAATTTGATCAGACGGTATATACAATACTTGTATGAAAGTATTTTAGCCCCCATATTGATATGTATGTATGTCTATACTTGGCAACCCTACAAACTAATCAAACGCAAAATAATGTCGGTCCGACTGATTCTGATATTATTTTGGTTTGGGTTTTGTTTTGTTTTTGCTTCTTGTACATACATATTTATGTATATAAATCCGTAAGATCAAATGCATGCAGTTCGTGCACACATACACTCAGCGGGAGGGCATTTGTAGTAACTAGTGAGTTGCCTTAAACAAAACAAAAAACGAAAACACAAACCAATTATTATGGCATCAATTAAAAATGTATTGTAGAAAAAAGATACAACTAGGAAAATATTACTTTTTTAATGTAAAACTATGCACAAACAAAATACCCGCTGATTAGTAATCGCATCAAATAAAACAAAAACACCAATGCAGAGAGCACAAAGCCAGCATGAGAGCGTACTAAACAGCTGAGTGTCAGTTAAAATAAAAATAAATAAAATATATATATGTACTTAAATGACGAAAAACAAAACTCAAATATGTGAAATAATAAGTGATTAGAATATAAAGATAGTAAATAATATAGTAATAATTGTTCTGAAATTAAATATAGATGGCAAGAAAAGTAATTTAATTGAACAATAACGTTTTTCTTTGCCTCTGTCCGTCTTTAAAACAAATCGTCTGATTATACACACTCCACACCGCGTACATAGTTGCACACTTGCTGGGCACTATGTTTCCCCCTGCATTGTGAGCGCGATCATTAATTTTTCTCGCGGCGTAGCTTTTGTTGGCGCGTGGGCTGTTGCGTCTGACTATTCAAGCGTGTAAAACGTGCCTTATTTAATTTTGCAATCGCAATTAAATATATAATTTAATTTCATGAGTGCATGAAGTGCTCATCCACAGCAAGATCTTTATAATAATCGTTAATAATAGAAAAATTATAATTGAAATCCAATAGTATACCTTATTTGATGTTGGGGCGAGGGGGATCCTCAAATTGTATTACAAATTTATAATTCCACATCCGATATACATATGTATATACATATTTGTATGTATATAATAAATTTTCGCTTGTGTGTGCGTGTCTGTCTGCTCTTCCTCCTTCCGCGTTGGTCAAATTGGTTCTTTGTTCGTTGCTTCTTCGCAATGCTTCGCATTTAACTCCACAACAAACAGTCTCTACAGCTGCTTAGCGACCATATGTATGCTTGTATGTCTGTGCATATCTATGTATAACATATATGAATTTAAACTTTTCTGTCTTTTATTATTTTGACTCACTTTTATTTGTTCCTTTTGCATTTAGTAGTGTTGTTGTTTTATTTTATTTAAGTATCTGTACCTTGTCAGCGGTGTGCGTTGTAGCATACTATAAAGAAAATGGGTGAGTTCAATCACTTTGGCCCACTACGCTGTCGGAACAGTGCCTCCGCAGCCACGTAAATACTTTGGTATTCGTAAAAGTGTGTAGAAAAACACTCACACATACACATATATATGTATGTATCTAGTTAGTTGTGTTTGTGCGCAGTTAAGTTGAATGCCCAGTGGCGTTGCACTTTAAGAACGCAGCGCGTCTGGCGTAGCTCTTTCCATAATTTAAGGATTTACTACACCTTTATTGACAAACGACGAAGTTTTTGATTAAATATTATTAAATGTGTTGCTTCTGCATCTCAACAGGAGCTTAAGTAAAAGGGCTTTCAACTTGATGATATTTTTTAGAATACGAAAGATTAACATACATCGATTTACCCCTAGCTGAAGCGAGAGAATTTTTTAGTAGTTTCTCTGTTAAGCAAACTGTCATTCCTAGATATTTATGATTGAAAAAACATATATCGTTTTTATAGAGTATATATAATATATATCGATATTTTTGAAATAGTATTTGATAATCTTACATATCGATTAGATTTTTATTTTAGTTTCCGTAAAATGTCGAAAATCCTTGCACTATATAGACATCGACTACACACTTATCTACTTATATCGATATCGTGTTGCTCGATAATATAAAATATCGATAATTCCATATTATAATAAAAATCTAAAAATTATCTGTACATCGATTGACTTCTAGTTTAGTCGAAATAATTTATCGTTGGCTTCTCCGTTGAGCATAAATTTCTTCTTAGAAACTTATAATTGGAAAAAAGATATACATTTTGGAGTACTAATTAAAGTTACAGTACATGCATATTCATCGATATTTATATATCGAATTTGCAAATTTTACATATCTATTAGTAGTTTTATTTAAATTTCTTCGAAAACAAACGAATACACTATAAAGACTTCGAGTACTTACGTCTGTTTATCAATATCATGTTGATCGATAATATAAAATATCGATATTTTAGTTTGATTTTTTGTTTTAATTTTTTACATTTTGAAGTTTATCAATACTTCCAGTGTTTGAAAAACCCTAATTCCGTGTAAAAATGTGCTCCAAAGTCAGATCTGTACTGAAAAAAGGGCAATGAATAACAAGATTTGCACTTTAGGAGGTTATATCCACTTGTAAGTTTAAAAATAGTTGATGTTTTTAGCTATGTATCGAATGTACATATATTTGAGAATACTCTTTAAAAATTTTAAGTTGATCCAGCAAAAAGTTTCAGAGAGATGAGCGAAGTTGTATGAACTCTTACTTAATGTAATCGGCTCCCAAAACTATACTATTAAGTTTAAACACGTTGTTCTCACAACCTTAGATATATTTGTCAGTTTTAATCCACACTAAAGTGTTGATTTTTTTTGGAAAGCCGCCATTTTGTCCATAATCAAAATTTTTACTAGTCCATCGATCGTTAATTGTTTTTGGATTTTAGATAAATTTAAGGAAAAACAATTTTTCTCACCGATAGAAGCTTTCTTTCGAAGGTCGGCTTCAGCAGCAAGTATAACATAACCCCTTAAAAAAGTCTTGCATCTTATGGCAAGTCGTTTAAAAGATTTGGTTTGCTAAGAAGAGAGAGCTATAGTTGTAGACAACTCTAGGTCATCTCCATACTAACACTTCTCAGAACTCTACATATAAATTGTATGTGAAAATATTCATAAATGTAGTAACGCTGAGATAATATATAGACATATGTACTATATTTGCATGTGTATATATGTACACATTTATAAGTGTGATATTTTGAAAAAGCAACAACTTTCTCAAGTACCGTAGTGCTCTTAACAAATTGTCATTGTTGATTTTCTGTAAGGCTTAGCAATAAATGGCTTAGCTTCTTATTCATACATATATGTATATATATATGTACATACATACATATTTAAATTTACACACAGTTAATATGCAACTCTATGGATACGTCCAGATTGGCTATATAATATAATATGACTGTTTACTGCAAATACTGAAGAGTATTTAACCGCATTATTACACATGCTTTTTCTACATACATACAATACATATTGTAACATACATATGCCATTTGTGCGTAGAGTG